ATATATATATATAATTCTTTTTTCCATCTTGCTATGAATAATTTGAGCTGTTTTCTAATGTGTTTATATTCTAAGTTTTGTAAGGAACTTCATACTACATTTTGTGAACTTTTTGAAACGATTTAATCATACTAACTTTTAGATCTCGTTCAGCATTAGCAATTTCGTCTTGTGTTATTTTTTTCTTCTTGTTGACGCCGTCCTTTTTTGCATTTAATTGATCTTCAGATTATTGTGTTTGATGGTTATTTGATCATTTTTTTGGATTTCCTTGAGCATCTAGAAGATGCTTTGTTTTAAGAATGGTATTTTATGCGCAGTTTAGGTTAGTTTGTTTGTGAGGGTATCGTCGCATGGGTCTTGCTGTTATGTGACCGATGCTGCTGACTACAGGTTTGACAAAGTCAAGTTTGAGACCGAGGTGATCGTTGCTCTTTGTTTCAAATTTTTTTCTTTTATTTTGATCTAAGCCGATAGTTGCGAGTATGAATGTAAAGATGATAGCTTTTTGGAAGTTTGTCTTAGTAGGTGCAGTATTTTTGGTAGTACTTCTTAAGCGATTATTTGTGCAACAAAGGGCAAGTTATATTTGATGTTTTGAAGGCACCTTTTACATCATTACGGTAGCTAGACGGTTTAGTTATTACGCTTCTTTGTTTTTAGGTTTTTATTTACTTACACTCTTGTCATTTTTCTTTGGTAACAAATAAAAGGAGGGAAGTGTTTAACCCTCAGCTGTTTTTTTTGTTTCGGGTTTTTTAAAGATTTGTTTCGAGGCGATGTTGTTCTATTTGATTATTTGATTAGGCTCAGGATGTTAACTGTTGGTACGCTGATGTTTGCTTATTAATTTGATTTCATTCCGTTTTCTGATTCACTTGAATATTATGAATTAAACAAAGTAACAGTTTTTTTTTTTTGTTCTGTATTTATACACAGAAACTTGGAAATTTTTCTTATCGTGCTTACGTTTAATTCTTCCTATCGGTGAAGGTTTAGGGGAGTGAAGGAAGAAAAAGGTGTGAGGTTTTTTTGCCTGTTTAAGCACTTTTCTCAGATCAGCGATTTTTTTGACAACCGAATTTTAATGCCGATCCTGAGTTTTGTGCTATCTAGATTTTTTAATTCTCCACCTACATTTTTCCTGGCAAACAGCTCAGAAGGAGTTTTTTTTT